TTGGCCTGCTGTGTTCATCCAGCCCTGCACCTTGTTGTCTCGGGTGCCAGTTAATAGCGACTTTGTGCACTTTTTGCTGTACTTGGGTATTCCTATACTTAGTACATGTGACAAATAAATAAATCTAACATTGTCCCTTTGCGACTATTAGTCCACCCATCACGTTTACTAGTTCAGTGTCACGCCCAGCTCATTACCACATCATGGGAAACAACTTTGCAAATTAGACCTTCAAAAACAAAATACCAGGAGGCAAATATAGTTATTTTGAATCAACCTATACAGACATGACATGGCACATCTGTAGCTAGGACTTGAACCTGGATTGTGGCAATTGTAACAGGAAGAAATATCTCTGAAAATTGGCCTTATTAATTGCTGAAGCTGATTTCTTTCTTATTTTGCATGTGATGCAAAATAAATTACTCACCTTCCTGTCATCGTGAAACAATTTGCAGAGTACATCTTGCATACAGATGAGATATCTTTAAGAAACAGTGCACACTCAGAGCAAGTGACTTCATGTTTTGGGTATGCAGTAAACAAATCTCATCAAGAAAGTAAATTATGTAACACAAACCATCTGTGCATTGTTATTCAGCTGGATGAAGCTGCACTTGGGATACATAAAATCAGTCGTTAGGAGCTTGAAGGTTCATTCAGTCAATGTTCAAATGTATACCAATTATGATCTAGTTTATCGATATATACAATTTGCTGGTGAAAGGGCTGTTGTGGCACTGTGGTAATGTCCCTGCCTTTGGTCCAGGAGGCTGGGTTAAAGTCCTACTTGCTCTCGCAATGTGTCATAACACCTCTGAACAGGTTGATGAAAAACAAAGATAACAAGGTGTAGAGCTGGATGAACACAGCAGGCCAAGCAGCATCAGAGGAGCAGGAAGGCTGACGTTTCGGGCCTAGGCCCTTCTTCAGAAATGGGGGAGGGGAAGGGGGTTCTGAAATAAATAGGGAGAGAGGGGGAGGCGGATAGAAGATGGATAGAGGAGAAGATAGGTGGAGAGGAGACAGACAGGTCAAAGAGGTGGGGATGGAGCCAGTAAAGGTGAGTGTAGGTGGGGAGGTAGGGAGGAGATAGGTCAGTCCAGGGAGGACGGATAGATCAAGAGGGCGGGATGAGGTTAGTAGGTAGGAGATGGGGGTGGGGCTTGAGGTGGGAGGAGTGGATAGGTGGGAGGAAGAACAGGTTAGGGAGGTGGGGACGAGCTGGGCTGGTTTTGGGATGCAGTAGGGGGAGGGGAGGTTTTGAAGCTTGTGAAGTTCACATTGATACCATTGGGCTGCAGGGTTCCCAAGCGGAGTATGAGTTGCTGTTTCTGCAACCTTCGGGTAGCATCGTTGTGGCACTGTAGGAGGCCCAGGATGGACTGTCGTCTGAGGAATGAGAGGGGGAGTTGAAATGGTTCGCGACTGGGAGGTGCAGTTGTTTAGTGCGAACCGAGCGTAGGTGTTCTGCACTCCTCTCCAAACCACATGTCATCTTGATTTAGAAATTTATTGCTGTTCCTTCATTGCATTGCTGGGTGAGAGATCTCGAACAGCAGCACAATGGGATTACCTATACCCAATGGACTACACTGGTACAAGAGGCAGCACATTCTCAGGGGCAAGAAATGCTATCTTTGCCAGTGACGTTTGTAACCCATGACCGAATAAAAATAAATGACACCAAAGGTACGCTGTCTTTACTCATTTATCAGCAGGTTCTGCAGCAGCAAGAGAAACATACAGGATCCAGAAGCAAGGACTTAGCAGAGAGGGAGTTTCTGAATGGCGCCATCAACTTTGAGATAGAGACCTGACACTGAGTAATGACTTGGTCGAGTCATCCCAATTGCCGAACCTATCAATGAGAAAGCATTTTTTATCCTCCAGTTCTTGTAAGGCAGCTGCAGTGATCTCCACCAATTTACAGTCAATGGTTCCTAACGCAACAAAATAGTGCTTTATTCTGGAGGGTTAAAGCATTTTATTGCCTTACACCCCGATTGACAACATCAACGTGACGGAGCTGTTTAATTCCACAGATTTGTATTTTTCCCACAGGTAGTGGTTAGTGACACACACACACACATGCATCTGCCACTACCCTTTCCCTCTATCCAATATCATTGTTTGAAAGAGCGGAAAGACTTCCTACTCTATCAACGTGCAAGTGATTTGAGATTAACTTTGCCATGACATGTCAGCTTCTCTGTCAATCTTTAACTTTGCGACAGTCCTCTATGCCAGGCTTACACGATGACCAAGGAAGGATGGTCATTGGAACTGAAAGCTGCATTCTCATTTTCACACTGTAGAGGCTTCATATCTGAAGTTAAAATAGAGAATACTGGACATACTCTGGCAATATTGGTAGAGAGAGAGATACAGCCTTAACATTTCAGGTCTGAGACCTTATATCAGAGTTCTGAAAAGGTCACTGACCAGAGATGTTAACTCTAGTTCTCCCTGTAACCTTGATTCTCCTGACTGACCCATGAAAACCACCAAGGTGATGATTGAGCACATCATTGACACATGGCAGCAGCGCTTTAGGTATCAGGTGAGAGCAGAGGGCATAGCCCAGAGAATACACCTGGGATCATTGCCATCTACTGGATATTCCTTTAGCTTGGACAAACAGGAGGTCGAACTGGGATCACTGACCGAGTGGGTGGTAGAGAGAGAAAAGACCATGAAAATGTAAGCCCTGAAGTATCGGTGTGGCCTTGCAAGCTATAAGATAAGGCAGAAATATAAGGTGTAACTCGCTTAGTCCCCTCTAAATCCATTAAATGGTTTGAAGTCAATATTAGCAAAGCTGTTCTCTGCATTTACATAGAGCCTATAGTGTGGAGACAAGCCATCTGCCCTATATCAGTGTTTACGCTCCACATGAATCGCTTGCTGTCCTCTTTCACCCTAGAAACACATTCTTCTGTGGCTTTCTGCCTCACTGAAGCTAAAACAGAATGTCTTGATTGGGTGTGATTTTGTTACATTTCTGCTTTATGAAGTTTTGTTGGATAAAACTGGCCAAAGTTGGGAGCATCCATCATTCCAACTGGAACAATAAATTAAATTCAAAATAGAGCAACACTGAGGGAAAAAAAGAAGAAAATATGCCCAAATGTGTTAATTTCCCAGTCACATGGAATGGGGAGTCTGGGATAAATATTTGAAGTGTGGGAAAAATTTAGTGAGGGTTGCAGGATGGGGTGTGCAGTGTAAGATACTATGAGTAATGATGTGGGTACATGTGCTAATGTCTTTGGATTTATTTAATTTTAAGCTGTTTGCTGTTATAAATATGTGGTGCTCAACATGATCACAGAGAGAATGTGCTCAAACATTTTGAAGTGTTCCTGTCTTAAACATAGAAGTTTTGTGTCAATCATAACTCTTTTGCTCCCTGGATATTTTTCATGCTTTTTGGATAACTTTTGTTCCATAAATAAAGTTTATATCTTTATTTTCACCCATTGTATCTAACATTATACCTGTGTAAAAATAAATCATTAGTCACCATGGTCTTACAAGATCATAGGCCTGATGTCTCATTAGAGAGAGAGAGATTTGATTTGATTTGATTTACTATTGTCACATGTATCTAAGTACAGTGAAAAGTTTTGTTTTGCAAGCAGTACAGCAAATCATAACATACAGAAACACAAAGATCGTAGGGTGATTCAACAGAGCAAGGAATACAAAGTTATGGCTGCAAAGAAGGTGTACAAGAAGCAAGATCATCATTAGATTTGAAATTTGAGAGGTCCATTCAGGAGGTTAATAATGGCAGGGAAGAAGCTGTTCTTGAATCTGTTGGTTCCTGTGTTGAGAGAAAGACACACACAACTGATGGTAGTTTAACCTGAAGGTTATCATACCTCAGGTGAGCGGAGAGGTTGAGAAGGACGGCCCTTCATGGTAACCATAGTCAGTGTAGGAATTGGGCCCATACTGTTAGCTTCACACTGCATTACAAACCAGCTGTCCAGCCAACTGAGCTAAATATGACCAGGTTAAGTGCAATAAAGTGAGCCAATAATTCTGATTCGAAACTTACTCCATGTTGCATTTTGTTGCAGGTCGGTATCCTGACGTCACCAAAGGAACTTACATTCCAATTTTTATCAAAGAACGATTGGAGAAAGGGCAATGGGGAGCCAAAGTGGAGTCAATCTGGAACAATGCGCTTATTCTCTCGGTCATGACCCCTCCACAGTGCATATTGGGACGGTTCAGAATGTATGTAGCTGTGATGACCCCGTATGGGATCCGCAGAACTGCGAGAGATAAAGATACAGATATTTACATTCTCTTCAACCCTTGGTGTGAAGGTATTGTCCAGTGCACCACACTATTATTTCATATACTGTCTCTTTGTGAATGCAAATGTAATTTTTTAAGTGGATTGTTTTATAAAATGAACTGATTCCTTTGAGGCTCACTTTGTTTTAAAGCTGCAAGGAATCCGTTCTCGTCATTCACCCTCCAATCTATCCTAACTGCAGTATCATCCAGCAGAGGTGACAATATGGTATCTTCACAGCCTTCAGTCTGTTTTTTCCCGTGATCCTTCTTATAAACTGGCATCAACCATTTTTAATTGTAACCAAAAGAAAAATCTAAGGAATGAAGTTCCTTAAAAAGAGAATGCTTGAGAAACTCAGCATCTGTGGAGAGGAACAGCGATGACTGTTCATCTGAACTCCAGCCTTTTTTTGTTTGTTCTTGTTTCAGTTTTCCAGCATCTGCAATATGTTGCTTTTATATTATTGTTTATATGAACATTCTCTCCTGCCAATGAGCCTTGGTTGTTGACAGTACACAGCGCAAACTTGGGAAAATGCCCATGCATGATTTTTGGATCATTAAATTGAAATAGTTGGAAACTCACATGTTGCTTACACCCAGATTCCTGACATGCATTGCAGATTGTTGGGATCTACTGTAGGAGTGAACGAGCAGAAGTGACCCATACATAGCACGCTAGAACCAAATACAATGAGTGAGGATGGTACAATTTAAACCCTGGTTTAGATACATCCGTACATCATGAAACTTTGCTGTAATGTGTAATATCAGCCAAAAATCTGGAATGACTTACTGTCTCATTATCAGTCCTAACTATACTTTGCACTTTCCCCTATTATCCAAAATTAGATCTTCAGTACTTAAAGTTTTCAAAATTTTCCTGTGTTAAATATTATTCCTCAATGTCTAACACACAAAGCCTAACTTGCCTTGTAACTTCTGCCCGTTTTGTTTTAAACTTCTGAATGCCACTGCTGTAACGATTCAGAGGATGCTGTTTACCTGAGTGATGATGCAGAAAATGAAGAATATGTCTTAAATGATGTTGGCTGCATTTACTATGGGAAGTTTACAGAAGTAATCTCCAGACCTTGGTTTTTTGGCCAGGTATTGTTTTTATTTATCTTATAGATAATGTACCTCTACTGTATTGAGCCATTCTTGATAGACATCTGTGCCCTGTAGCATAGCCAAAGTTTATTCATATCCTAGAAATGAGGCAAAGAATAGATTGTTGATCTGTTATGTTAATTATTGTGTTTTGAGTGTTGCAGATAAGGCCAGGATTAAAATATCACACTTCTCTACCTATGTTGAGAAGTTGCTAGCTACTTTAGAGTGCACTTAGAATCATTTAATGGTGGGAGACACCTTTGTCAGACCTATCTTTCTGCAGTATCCATGATGACATTTCTTTGTAAGGCAGGAGTGGTGAATCAGACGAGTTCAGGGAGGGAATTCCAGAACTTGGGGTCTTGGAAGTTGGAGACATGGCAAGCCATGTTGGAGTTGTTAAAATTGGGAATGCTCAAGCGTCAAGGGAAGGAACCCACTGAAATCTCAGGGAGATCTTGGGGCTGGAGGAGGGGACAGAAATTGGGAAGGGTGAAGTCATGGAAGAATATGAAAACAAGGTCGAGAATTTCAAAGTTAAGGTGTTGCTGGATCTAGGGCAAAGGTAAGTCAGCAATCTGTGAACAGGGAGTGAGCCAAGACTAAGCTATGGCCTGCAGAGTTTTCAAAGAGTTTACATTTGTAGAGTTTGCAAGGTGATCAGTGCAGCATTGAAATAGTCCAATGTAGAAGTGATCAAGACACAAATGAAGGGTTTGAGAGGCAGACAAACCGAACCAGGTACCGAGGTGGGCAATGTTCCGATTAGATTAAATAGACAAGCAGTTGGCCGTAGTAGAGAAACAGCAAAAGTGCATAATTGGCAGATAAGCAAGCTCTGTGTGATTTATGAGCTGCTTAGATCTTTGAAATTAATTTCAGCCTTTCACTTAACATTTGTAATGCTGGACGCTCTTTTATACAGGACTGTTTAGTATCAAGTGTAAATGTTGTTAGCCTAGATGCCAAGGGAGTGGTGCAAAATGATCCCAAAGGCACAGGTTCAATCCCTGTACCTTGCAGTAGTTCATGGAGATCGACCTCCTCACCTTGCTCTGTTGCTTAATGTGCAGTAGTGTCTTCCAGCAATTAAACCAATTGTAATGCTGTAATGGAGGGAGATGCTTGTTGTCTTTCACGAAGAGTGACCAAGTAACTATTTGATTTTAATCTTTATAACTAAATGTGTTTATTTATAGTTCAGTATTTTATTGCACTGAACGTTACGATTTTTATTTATGTTCAGAAGCTATTAAAGAAACACAACATAATTATGATGCTGACATAAATGATTGCATCTTCACTTTATAAACTTCAGTTTGTCCCCTTAATTCCATCCAGTTTGAAAGGAATGTTTTGGACGCGTGTATTTACATACTGGACAGAGCACGGATGCCTTTACAAACAAGAGGGTGTCCAATCAAAATCTCCCGTGTTGTATCTGCAATGGTGAGTTGATATGACTGCAGGATCACAGAAATAATACTAGAGAGTAATTTCAGGGATTTACAGAAACAGGAGTTTGGCATAGTACTGATGGGCTCTGTGCCACTTGAATAATCACAATTCATGCTTCAAGCTTAGAGATATAAAGGATGTTTCCGCATGTGGGCTGTTCTGGAATGAGAGGTCATAGTTTTCGAAGTAGCAGATTTAAAACGAAGATGAAGAGGAATTACTTCCTTCAAAGGGTCGTGAATCGGTACAATTCACTCCCCGAATTTGTGGTGGATGCCGGGACATTGAGTACGTTTAAGAGGGAGTTAGACAGATTTTTAATTGGTCATGGGTTGAAGGGTTATGGCGAATGGGCAGGAAAGTGACATTGAGGCCAAGTTGAGATCAGCCATGATCATATCAAATGGTGGAGCAGGCTTGAGGAGCAGAATGGCCTACTCCAGTTCCTGGAGCTTATGTTCAAGAAAGACAAATTCTGTTTCATTTAATTTTTTTAAGAGACTGGTACAGAAGAGGCTTTTGGTTCACACTGCACCAGACTAGTTTCTGTCTATTACCCATCCTGTGTCTATCAGATACAGTTGTAAAAGTTCCCAACCGAAACCTTTATACATGACTCTTTGTTTCTAGCTCTAATATATAACCATTTATATTACAATATAAACCAAATACTAAGGATATGCAACATTGTTGGTAGGATTTGCAATAATTGGGGACTGGTTGTGTTAACTGGCCCGGTCTGTGCTATGCACACTACATAAGTCAAATATTGACTTTCAAACGAAACCCCAAACTAAAACCAGTGCAGCCGTCTCAGGTGGCTGCAAAACATCCCAGAGCAGAATTTATCCATCGCCCAATACTATTAAAGAAATATTTGGTAGCATAGACTTGAGTTTTGCTGAAGACACACACATTTTGTCAATGCTTTTCCGCTTGCACTCATCAGGATAATTTGCAAGAATACCAGTAAAGGAAAACTGTATGAGAGGAAGGTGCTGATTGGTTGGCAAGTGGGCTGTAATTGGTAGTGATTGCGACAGAGAACGTAACAGCTAATGATGATTGACAGTTAACTTCCAGGGTTTGTTTAGGTTTCAAATGAGACAGGTTAACTCTGATTGGTCAGGGTATTGCAATGAGAGGTGAACCAGTGACTGGCTGTCATCTATTTTGTTGAGTGGATACAGGCACCATGCATGTACATTTTTTTTCCTGTCTGAAACAAGTATTTATTCACGTAGCTTCTATTACACACGTGTAATACATTGCAAGCCTGACTGACAATTTGAAATTGTTTGTTAGTATAACTCACACACTCACAATAATTTAGCAAAGGATGTCTAATTGCTAATCACAGCTAATGTTAGGCATAGTGCTGCATGTGTTACAAGTGTGGGTTTGTTGGGTATGGTCAATATCTGCTTGTTTTAGTCAGTCAAAGGAATATGTTGTTTGATCCAAGTGAAACAACTTCATTTGTTGCTTAAAAACTGGTCGTACCTTACCCTTCCAGGGTAATCTGAGAGAGACTGAGCACTTTTAAAATACAAGAGTGTCTGTCCTAGAATCTTTCAGGAGTTTGCATGATCTATTGTGAGAAATTATCTGTTCAGTGTAGTCATTTCCTTCGGGATGACTTTGATGAGCTCAATTTCAGCATTAAGCTTTCAGGCAGCGCGAGTGGTGCTCGCCACTAACAGAATGCTGCCATCAAGCCCAAAAGACATTCCCAATCACACAGATTAGTTTTGTGGTGAATGAATTTTAGTGCTGTTGTGATGCCAGATGTATATGCCAAATATCCCAAAGACTAATGGTTCATTTTAAACAGCGCATCACTTTGGCTGTCTGCAAACAACGACGAGATTGATTACAGGAAAGAGATAAGAGTGCTTGGTGGCCTCATGTAACGATAACAATCTCTCCCTCAACGTCAGCAAAACTAAAGAGCCGATCATCAACTTCAGGAAGGAAAGTGGAGGGCAACGCCCCTGTCTATATCAATGGTGCTGAGGTGGAGATGGTCGATAGCGTTAAGTTACCAGGAGTGATGATCACTAACAGCCTGTCCTGGACCACCCATGCTGATACAACGATCGCCTCTTCTTCTTCAGGAGGCTAAGTAAATTTGGCATGTCATAAGGACTCTTACCAATTTTGATAGATACACCATAGAAAGCATTCTATCCAGATGCGTCGCGGCTTGGTACAGCAACTGCTCTGCCCAGGACTATAAGAAACTGCAGAGAGTTGTGAACACAGTCCAGTCCATCACGCAAGCCAACACTCCATCCATTGACTCCATCTACACTTCTCACTGCCTCAGAAAGGCAGCCAACATCATCAGAAACCCGTCCCACCCCAGTTATAATCTCTTCCAACCTCTTCCATCAGGCAGAAGAGACAAAAGCTTAAACACTCACACCAACAGGTTCAAGAAAAGCTTTTTCCCTGCTGTTCTTAGATTTATGAATGGACCTCTCAAATTTCAAATCTAATGTTGATCTTGCTTTTTTGTGCACCTCCTTTGCAGCGATAACTTTATATTTCTCATTCTGTTCAGTCACCCTCTGATTTTTGTTGGTATGATCAGCCTGTACTGAACACAAAACGAAACCTTTCACTGTACCTAGGTACATGTGACAATAATAAATCAACTCAAATTAACTAGCAAGGTATTGACAGTGTCTAACCAGGCCATACTCACAGAACACATAATGCAGCATCCAGCATTCCCTGTGATTCTCCAAATGGACAACGTTTGTTGGATAATCCCGAGCATGTGAAAAATAACACCGATAATCAATTCTGGATTGTTCGTCAACCTTGCAATATGGTGTACCAGCAGCTACACATATAAATTAACAAAACTGTGATGGAACGAATGCACCAGAAATCAAGACAATCTGGATGCCACCATTTTATATGTCAAGGCCTCTAAGCCTGTTGGAAAATCCTACACTGAGGTTCCAATGCTTGAAGGAAATGTGCAAAAGCCAATGGTGATAGAGTGCTGAGTCTATAGTACCATACGTGTCCTACCAGTTTTGTTACAATCCTGGGGTAATAAAGGTTGCTTGTGAGAAAGAAGGTGAACAAGGCTAATTTGCAACAATGGAGAAGACAGAGAGTTACACGCTTGTGAGCGGTTGCATCTCTTTTTATTCAAAATATCTACTTCAAAAGTGCAGTGTATTGTCCTCAGTACCATTCCCAAAGGGTACGCGGGCTGTTAAATGATTTCATTGCTAGCAGTGTTTTTAAGTGAATCCAAACACACAACTCATTGTCAGAAACTGGTACCACACTTTGAAAGGGAAAACCAATTGATCTTCTAGAGATAAAACAGAAAATGTAAGTACTGGGTAGGATCAGTGGAATAGAAAATATAAAAGGGGATGAAATGAAAAGTCACTGCCTGAATCATTCTCAGCATCTGACATGTTTTTTGTGGAATTGCTGGGGAACTGAATGAAATCTAGCTGCTCCTTTTGTTATATAAGCACCTACTTCAACCCTAGTGACATCCTGGACTCCACTCCTTCACCTAGAGGTTTTTATAAAGAAACTAATATTCGATAGATTGAGAAATACCCTTTAACCTGCACGTACTCATAAAGTTTTTTTTCTCATCTCATGGGAAAACTTTCATTACTGACAGAAATGTTGTCATGCCAGACTGTAAACCTGGGGACCAGTGATTAATAACATTGACAATTCAAATAGAACTGTTATTGTTTTGCAACTTTCAGAATGTTGGCTTGGACCTTAGCAGCTGTACTAACTCCTTAAGCTGTTTCTGAGAATTTTAAGCCAATCCCTTAATTGATGAGGAAAGTAATTTAGTTTGTTGTATAGACCGTTGATTGAAGAATAATTCAGATTTAAATCATTTGTTATGTCAGTCTTTTTCCTGAGCCTCACTAGTTTGAAGTTTGATTAGTAGCTTTTTGAGTTTTGTTGAAAAAAGACGCATTTTCTCAAAGCTTTCAGTCTTGCACTCAAAAGGACGATTCATAAGAATACCAATTCAAAGGGAAAACCAACATTTATACTGCATGTGGGGAGAGTACCAAAGGGTTGACAAGTGGACTCTGATTGTTAGAGGCATTGCCATGCAGAATACACCACATTATGATGATTGATAGTTAACTACCAGGCTATGTTTAAATTTTAAACTAAACAGGTTGACTCAGGTCAGAGAGTTGCCATGAGAAACGGACCAGCAAGTGGCCGTCACCTGTTTTGTAGAGTTGAAACAGGTGTAGTGCATGTATGTGTTCTTCCTGTCTTCGAAGAATATTGCAAGGCCTTAGTGAGCCCGTGTACTGCAAGCTATGTTTACCTATATTTGTTGAATCAAAAGACAGCTGGAGGATACCATCTGACAATCAGCTGACACCATCACAATAATGGTTGACAGCATGGAACTGAGATAATCCTTCCAAATCAGTGGCACAATCATACTTAGAATACAGTGTACACGACAGAAGGAATATTGCAGCTGTTAACAGCATATACAAAGACAGCAGCTAGAATGATTTGAGGAGGTGAAGGGATTGGACTGTGTGGTGTGGCTACATAAATTGGGCACATTTTCACTTTAAAAGGCAAGGTCAGGAGGTGAAATGATTGCAGTTTCTGGGACTTTGAAAGGACTTTGTAATCCAGATCATGACAAACTATCTCAGTTTGTCCAGAATGATAGAACTAGAGGACTGAAGAGGAATAATCCCAAAGTAATCTAGAGAAACAGGTTTTCAGTGGGAGAGTGGTCAGTCTATGGATCAGACTCCGTCAGGAGTCAACGGGAGCAGTTACTGTCAATTTGTCCAAATAAGATTGATTTCTTTCAGAAATTGGCATTTCGCAAGTAACTGTAAAGTCACCAGAGTCTTACCAGACTAGAGAGCTGCTCTGTCATTAGGAAGACAACTTGTGGTGGTTTAACCTGAGGGCCACCGTACCTTAGACAAGCAAGGAGGTTGAGAAGGTAAATCCCTCATGATAACCTCAACAGTTGCAGGAATTGAACCCACAGTGTTGGTGTTAGTCTGTATCAGAGACCAGCTGTCCAGCCAACGAAGCTTAAAGCAAATCCTCCACGTAAGCTGAGGTGTGACATGCGGTGTGTAATATGTTTGAGAGAAAGAAGTAGAGTTGGACTAATATGGATCATAAAACCATCCATCGCAGTAGCGGGGGGGGGGGCTTTACCTCACCGACCTCATTAGCTCACTGAAGAGAGCTATTATCGGACAGTGACCTCAGGGAAGTTGCAACTTGCGAATTGATTCTTTTTTAATGCCTCTGGATTTACCAAAATTCATCATATTAATCTGTCTCCTTTCCAGTCCTGACTTCCTTAATTTCCTGAGTTCTTGTTTATATAGCTGGAGAGCAAAGGAAGTCACCTCCCATTTGACTGTTTTGTTAATAGACCCTATCTTTGATTTCTTCTTAAAGAGCTTAGATTTATTTCAAAGATTTGGAACCTGTAAACCCTCAGAAAGAGATGAGGCTAGAAAGGGAAAGGAGTAAATCACAAAATACCTTGCTGTCTCAGGCTTAAGAGAGGAAAAGCAAACATAATTTAAGTTCATTACCACACCCCTTTGTCCAAGACAGTTGCCACAGAAATTGATTTGACTGCGATGCTCCTATGGTTGAATAACTTGCTATCACTTACTGTTTAGAGACCCACAAGAAAAATGGTCAATCAGACATTCAGTAAGTGTGCTGATACGGGGTTTGGAAAGGGAGGGATTCTAAATTTAAAAGGTTGGGGGGTCGGTGGGGGGGGGGGGGGGCGGTGCAGTCCGGTTATGGCTGTGGTACCAGTTGTACAATCCTTTTTTTTAAAACATGGATGATATTGGACTCACTGATGCTATGCTAACGCAAGGCAACAAATTCTCTGCTACACCTGAATCAGCACCTACCTTTTAGTCTTGAAATACAGTGACCCCAGGAGGTGGACTGGTAGACTACAGGAAATTCGCTCACAAACTTTCCTGACATGGGTACACTGTGAAACTATTTTCTACAAGGCCTACATCAAGAATCATCCGTTCTGAAATTTACATGGGAACAGCAGGGTCAGGGAGTTCACAATAAAGAACATTACTTCCTTTTTCCCTACGGAGAATATATTTGGGACTTCAGTTTTATGCTTTTCCGGTTCCAGTAAGGAGTGTTTTTGGTTGATAGAATTTAATAAGCGCAACTGTTAAGATGTCACCTTGTGAAACCACTGTGATAGATGATGGCAGGTATTTAAACAGTGCTACACAATGCCATTGTATCCACAATTATCAACAGAGCTTTAACAATGAGATTATAACTGAACATCAAACATGTAGAAATCCATTGAAGTGAGTCCATACCAGGGAGGACCTGAAATGATCATTGTGAACGTAGTTTAAATCATCCAAAATTAAAATAACCATTAATCAAACAGATTTTCATGTGTTGTTCAGTGTCTTTATTTTCCATCTTTGAATCTATCACTTGGTAATGTTAAAATACTTCATTGAAAGTATGATTTCATCAATTTGATAGGCAAGCTTCAAAGTGACAAGTAATAGGAGAACATAACTTTGAAACTGTTTCTGAACAATGTCTGCACACTAATTTAATTGAAATATATCCTGTGAAAAATAGAATATTCTCTTTGACCAACCAATGCCTTCCCCCATCCAGATTAATTCAAAAGATGATGGTGGTGTCCTTGTTGGATGCTGGGATGGGGAGTACACAGATGGAGTAGCCCCCACAGCCTGGAATACCAGCGTAGAAATCTTACTGCAGTATCTTGAGACAAGGCTTCCGGTTTGTTATGGACAATGCTGGGTCTTTGCTGCTGTGCTTAACACAGGTGAGAACTTTTACCTCCAACCAAGTCAGATACAAACGAAGCTTGAGGCCTGCATGTTATATAATCACAGCTGGATATACATCTGTTCTAGCATCAATACACACACACAAACATTCAGTCTGTGTGTGTGTGTGTCTGTCTGTCTGTTTCTCATCTAATGGCACACACAGGTACCTACGCAGTTGACACACACACAGGGTGGCATTTAATGGAGCAGAGATAGTAGGAACTGCAGATGTTGGAGAATCCGAGACAACAAGGTGCAGGGCTGGATGAACACAGCAGG